GGCCCTTTTATGGTAAGTTCCTTTTTACCTTAACCTGTATATAATTTAAGTAGGGAGTGTTTTATACCATTGTACCTGTTTTTATATCATTGTTTTGTTACAGCCTTTACGCCTTTACTTTACCTGTTCTTTTCCTTTCCTGTACTCTTTGTATATATGTTACGCGATAACTCCGGTATTTGTGAACCGATTTTCATGATTATTTTTTTGTTGGAAAGGGGGTACTTCCATACGTCCCATTTCATTTTGAAGAAAATCATCCACCTGTAAGGGTAGGTGTTCACGCATGAAGATTCATTTTTATAAATAGCGCCAAAATTTTACTAAGGAGCAATTATTTTAAAGGTTGATTTTGCTATTTATCCAATTCAAGGCGTTTTTCTCTACTTATACTTTTTTTATTATCTCCAGTGTCAAGTCCTGTATAGTGGCGAATTTAAGGATATTTCAATAAAACTTAGCAAATAGACGTAATTCCACGTATTTTTGAGGTCGGTTTTTTAGTACTCTGTACTGAGATTATTTTTAACTCTCCTTCTTAAGCATAAAACAGTTCAAAACAACTTTTCTTTTGAAAAGTTAACTTAGAACTATTGATCCAGCCTTAAAACACAAATTTAACTACATGTGAGGATATATCGGTCATAACAATTCCACCAAGTAGCTTATTTATAACTATCGCCTTAGAGAACTTGGGCATATGCTCAGTCAGCGCTATTTCACAACTATGACAAAAATGTTTTATTTTTCCTGTTGTAATCAATCTGTATTCGTGTCATACTAGTGAATAAAGTCTTTATCTATCCATCGTAGTGCTCTGTAGGTGGAACTCGACAAAATATAGTAACATTAATTGTATAATCGATAACGGCATGCGTTGAAGCCATTCTACGCGAAGCGACACTGCACGTGCAGTTCATTGTACCATAGTGCAGTTCCGCCTACTGCGATTTTACCTTTACAATCAGTTACATCAGCGCTCTATGCCACTTTAAAAAAGACAGTGTTTTTATAACATCGGACGGTTTCAAATTTGAATTATTTCATAAACAAAACCTTGTCACTTAACTTTTCAATAAGGCAGCGTCTACAACTAGCTAGCTATTTTGAAACTGTCATCTTTAGAATATGTTTTTTCTGGCTTCTTTACGATTATTAAAAAAAGAACTAAATTTTTTATATTGATAATATTCGAAAACGGTCATCAAAATAGAAAACTGTATGCATGCCGAATGAGTAAAGAAACGCGTGTCTCCGCGTTCTACTGGCCATATAAACACACCGGCGCGCCATCACACTCGTCAACTCCGTTCTCGTCAATCATTCAGATTTATTTGATAGCATGATTCTGTTCTATTTCCTTAATGGCAGCCACTAGGCTTGGGCCAGTGTCAGTTTCGAATAACATAATTGAATGTCTGATGAGAGAACGTAAGATAAGGGTCTGGTGAAATTACAGGCACATGGGACTTGTCAACTTACGCCTCCTGAAATGCGGCGCAGTGGCAGTACCCCTCAGATCTTTGTGGTTTAAAGCTCTGAACGGCACTGGAGCTGTTATGGAGAGGCGTGTCGCTTACTACCAGGCCCAAGGGTTGTTCTGCCCGTCCTTAAAAAAGTGTTTAAACCAATTATGCCTATTGGTTCAGTTCTATAAAATGTATTAATGTTAATTAATTTGTTGTTGTTTCCATCTTTGTAGCGATTCGGATTTTTATCTGTTAAAATTTAAAAAATCTAATTAAATCGCCTGACTCCTAGAGGGCGCCAAGATATTGATTGCACCCACGTGTACAAGGGCTCAAGCCGATTCAGCGTCGATAAGTGTGGAGACATCTTAATCCGAAACTCCCAACGGCATTCCTATCGTTAACATAAAGAGTCTATACAAGCTCTAAAAAAATATAGTAAAATTGAGGATAAACACTGATTACTATATGGTGTGAAAAGACTATTCCTAAAAATTTTCGCGATAGAAAAAAACATAAACTTACTTCCTATACCAAAGATTTTTTTTTATATATATCAACTGAAGTAAACAGAACACGTATAATATTTGATACAAAGTTTTCAAATGGCTTTGATTTCATTTGTAAAACAAATAAATTCTGAAATAAAGCCAGTGTCTCTGTTGCTCGACTCAAGCAAAATGGAAATTTTTTTAATTCGACCTGAGGTAGTACAGAGTCTTAAGTCACACATCTTTTTTTTCATTCTGCTAAAAGGTATTTTCCTTTCATTGTAGCAGCGTGTAAAGCTTTCGGTTTCCTTAACAAATAATCCTTTAAATCGCGTTTCTTGTCAGAAAAAACATGTTCTAAAAACAAAAAGGATAATAATTTATTTATTAGACTAATATTCATTTTAATTTTTTTTTAACTCTCTATTTTCGAATTAACGAAATAATCTGGCCAAGGCAATTTTCATAAACATATTTTTAGGGAACAATTGCGTTTTTTAGTGATTTTCTCAATCAAGTGACCACACCGCTCCGACCTCAGACGCGGCGCTTTTTTTTTTCGACGTAACACTTTTTCCAATCGACTCAAGCCGAATCCGAGTTGATCAGTGTGGTAACTCCTTAAGTCAAATAGACGTTTGGCGTGACATTTTCAAAAAACCAATAACGCTTCAAAACTTGAAACATACGAAATAAATAGTAGTACAAAAAACATAATTGCAATGCCACCGGTCTGTATTTCATCTAATGCGATTGGCCTGCTGGATATAATACACTTCAATATTCAAATAATAAAAAAACCCACGGAAATTACGCAGAAAATACTAGTCAAACTTAAAAGTTTATTATTTTGTAAATTTATTGTTTAGTTTTTAGTAACTGTTGACTTTTTAGTCATTCAGTTTTTATGATTTTTTTAAATTAAATTTGACCAACTTGTGCTGGCCCAATTTTTTTCGTCCCATACAATGAAACGATCATGAAACTCACTCTATAAACACTAAAAAAACCATATCGAGTTCTTAGATTCAGTCATCCGTGACCATGGGACCTGTAAAGGGCCCGAAACGTCGGTTTGTTTGAAAAAACAAATATACGCGATTTAAATCCGGAAAAATAGTTTCATTTACTAAAAAAACCAATTTTCTTCACTTTTTGTGAACTCACTCACGCTTGACCAAAAGAATTGACTATGCCAAAGTTGTTTTTCCCAAAAAAAGACTTAATGGTTCCTAACAGTTTCCTTGTATCTTCTATGGTTTCGGATTTCCCCATACTGTCCCATTTACAAAAAACACTGTATATTAGCAGACTACATCATCGACTCGCCATTGAAGAGCCGAATATCAAAAAATTGCAACGGCTGTTGAATAGTATCTCGTTGGTTAGCCACTTACTCTTTTTAATTTTTAGCGGAATACCAAACGTACAAAATCCAGCCGTTAACACTATTCACACACATCTGAAATAATTTAAAATTAGCACACTAGGGGACTTACAATTTGTTACTGGCTCTTGGGCCAGAAACATTGGTTTGTTCGAAAAAACAAGTGTGCGCGATCTAGATCAGAAAATATAGTCTCATTTCAAACTCCTTAAAAACTCGGTATTTCTTCATCTAACAGACAAAAAAACTAAAAAACGCTATTGTTCCGTAATTTCTAACTACAAAGTTTACAAATTAGTACCTTATCTAACGCTTTATACAGTATGCAATTTATACATTACCTCATATTTTTGCAACTTGACCAGTTAGCAGAGAGTGTTCAAACAGTTATATTCCATCATGTACAACTGATAGAACACGCGGAAGATATTGTTAAAAATGTTCCGTTAGTATAACGGTCAATGGAACATGTTAAATGCACAAGCGTTTCAAAAAAAACAATTTTGGTGGTGCAGTAAGGAAAAATATATTATTCAATCCCCTGCCTTAATACTATGGCATGAATGATATTCAAACTATGACAATATTGAAAATTAAACTTTATTTATAGTATTGAAATGTGAGTTTTGAAAATTAACTACTTTTTTTATACCAAGTGAATAACGGAATCTATAAATTCTGTTTCAAACAAACTCCAATCTTAAAACTTCAGTCTTTTTTTAACAAATAAGAAGCTAATGCTAACAGACTTCTGAATATACTTAATTTAGATTAACATATTTAGGACAGGACATTTATGCGCTCAGTACACTTAAAATAGGAAGAGTAGTGACGAGGCATACTTAAATTACCACTAGTCCTACTAGAAGTGCAGTAGGAAAAAATGATGTGAGATGAAACTTTGAGATCCCGGTATTGGGATGTATATGGGTTGATATGGAGGAAAGAAAACACTCTCTACTAACTTGCCAAGCATCAATTTTAATCTACAAATCTAGCATTACTTTAAAAACAAAAAATATTTTAATTTATATTTTCTAAAACAGTATACATTAATATTTTACATTTATAATTATATTAATAAATTGCTTACAGTCGGGACATATTTTTTTACAGAAATTGTTTTAGTAAAAATAAACTTAAAAACAATCATAAAGCATTGCCAACATTTGCCCACAATTTTGAACGAAATAATAATTACAGTTCTGCCCTCTTTGTCATAACTAACGCATTTGCATTTCGGTAACTTTCGAGATATAGACCTAGTCTTTTTTGCTAGTAAAAAATTAGTTATCATATTATGCTGATTTTGCTTAACAATAAAACTGAAAGTAGATAAAACCGATTAGAGGGGGCTGTAGATCTGTTTCTCTAATCCTAGATATGTTAAATATCTCAAATTTGCTAAAAATGTCGATTACGTTACTTATGATAAGGAGGGCAGATTTATACATCAGATCAACTACGAAAAGCGGCGAAATCATATCAGAATCTTGCCGGACATAGGGCAGTTTCTTTTTTTAAAGTAAATAAATATTGTGAACAGAAAATGGCTATATGTTCGGCGTGGCGTGTTGATTTTTTTATTATTTCTCCGTAATTGAACCCTTTACATACATTTAAACTATAATTAAAAAACACAAATAGTTCATACACTTTATCAAATGACATTAAATAAAAACGGAATTCACTTTGGAAAAAATGGTGGTAGGACCGCCGAGAAAAATCTGTCCGTGGATTCAACTTAAGGTTAAAGTGCTTAAAAATATTCTATTAATTCGTTTATCTATTCCTGAATGTACAAATTAAATTTTTTTATCGCCGACTGTAAGCAACAGGACATCAGTTCATTTTATGTACAAAAAATTGTCATATATATTTTTTTGTGTATTTATTTAACTAATATCTTTAAGTTTCGTTACGACGAGGCCATTTTTTATTATACAATTAGTTTCTAGGGCCATTTATATATATTTATGAAGGACCTAGTCAACGTCACTTGGGTATTTACTGTCAAAAACAAAAATGCCCGACAGCTATACATTGTAACGTGCCTTCTAGTGACTGTGATAATAGCAACTCGGTTGACGCCTGTTTCAAATTTGTATCATTTTGGCCTACATGTCCACAATGTATTCTGTGATATGTGTGAACCACTTTATTAAACTGTATCAATTGCATAGAACCTGAAGACAGAATGCACATCACAGATAATTTTGCGAATCTCTGTAGTATGTCACCGACACGCGTCACGATCGTTAGTTTGGGTTAGATATGTGCGCTGCCGTATGATAGAGTTTACCAGCGTAAGGAATATTTATTTTAATGACGTATCACCTTCTTCGTTAATTATAAATTAATATTATAAATGCGAAATTACCCCTTATGTTTTCACGCCAAAATAGCTGAACCAATTTTAATGAATACATAGGCTACTTTTTGTCACTAAAATAAATGTTATATGGGTGAAATACGGGAAAAATGGTTGCATGGAGAACCAATTAAACTACGAATATTAGTGTAGTACAGTAGGCTATTCGAAGTACTTATTATACACAGACGAAATCGCGGGCACCAGCAAGTTTACTAAATTTCAATGATTTTTTGCACAATTAAAAATGAATTACACAAAGTCTACGTACATCGTATGCACAGACATATATCTACATAGACGCCGCAAGTGTACGTACTTCGCGTGCCCAAAGTGAAATTCACTTACTTGCCGCTGCTACACTTCAGAACGCGCTCGACCGTTATCGTAGATAAACACCAGTCGAAAACGCGAAAAATGCATAATTCTGCTATTATAAACTGCAAAAGCACCATAACTGTGGGTAAACGTGTAAACAGAGACGTTTCCTTCCACGGGCGAGTGATTTTGTAATCAGAAGATGCCTAATTTATTTTAAAAACAATTATTTTGGTTTTGTATGAATTTCGAGAAAGCATGATTTGTAATATATTGCGGCTTTTACTAGGTGCGATATATTTGTGATCCTTTGTGAATACGCCACGAATATCGAACGAACGCACTTTTGTATAATGCATTCAGTTTCGTGGTACGGCCGCTTGTACATTCTTTTGGCCAAATTTAACAGTGATGTATACGTTAGGCAACACCGTTCTCGATTCTGATCGATTTTGAAAACAAAGGGACGAAAATTATTATGACCTTAGCAATATTATAAAAATATTTTGTTATTTTCGTTTTTTTTTTCAGTTTTGTAGTAAGTATCTGTTATCAGTAGTATCTGCAATTTCGATAATTTTTGCAGCACGTTGCCTCGAATGTCCGAATGTAGTGAGCAAATAATTACCTACATCGCCAGATATGTAGTACGAGTAATACAAAAAAATAGAAAATGCGAAGAATGTAACAGTGCGCTGACGAACGTGGTCTAGTTTATCCCACCAAAGATGCTAGCCAAATATGCCGTAAGTAAGTAGCAGAATTAGAAATCCGAGAAATCATGACCAAATCACAAAAACTTTTTACCCGAGGCCGACATTAAGTAAACCTTTTCTGATTAGTAAGATTTCACGATATTTTGTCAGCAGTAACATTTTCGGTTGTCTTACCGTTCACCAATTTCATCAATCACGGACGGAAAACCATCTAGTAAATTTAGTTAAAGCAGTTGCAAGTCCATACATTGAGGTGCGTTTTCAGGGCAGGTACGAGATTTTTAAAACAAACAATGTGTATGGAAAAAGGACGAAGGGCTATTTAATTCCAACATTATTTAATGATCTTCCTTCACACTTAAAATGTTTGCAAGGTAATAAAAGTTGCATAAAAAATGAATTAAAGAAATATTTGTTAGATACATTGTAGTAATTTAGAGAGCTGTAATTGAGTAACAGAATGAAATGTTATGTGATTGTAATGTAAGCGTAGCAACCAAACTCTCCCGATAAACTTTTATGAAGTTTCGGAGAACATGTAATTGACAAGATAAATAAATAAAAAAATAAAAAAGTCAATCGATAACATCTATTACAAAAATACGGTTATATAATAAGCTTATTTTATTTCAAGGACAATACTTTTAATATTTGAAGTTTAATTTTTTTAAGTAATCAAAATTTTTAAAAACAACTTGTAATAAAGGACAGTTATACCATCTTGTTTTGGTATTTTTCTACTATATTAATATTTCACGACTACCTGTAATAAACGATTACTGGAATCGATTAATTGAATGGAATACGTGTATTCCGTTCAGTCAATCGATTTAGCGCGGTAGGAGGTTTCCCATCACTAAATAGTTCTTGTGACGTCATGGTGGATACATAAAATGTGGCACGCTTAGTTTTCATACAAATTGCTGTACTTGCGGCATCTGTCTAGATATATGTTTGTGATCGTATTTATAGTATATTTAATTACCAGAGTTTATTTTCACGTTATAGTTTGTTTATAAACATTATTTAAGTTGATTGTTGCTAGTAATAACTATTTTTAAGGCATCGCTAAGATAAAATTTTAAAAACGTGAAAACGAATAGAAAGATTGTTTTAGGCAATGTTTTTTGGTGTCTTTTTTAACATCTGAAAAATATATGCCACGATGTGTTCAAGCCGATCATGACGTCGCCTCTGGTTCAAAAATTTTAATGATGAGCGCATCTCTGCATTTTCCGTGTTGGTGATTATGATACATGTGGGTACGCCAAAATGATACAAATAATAGAGGCCAGCGAAGTGATAGCCGCTCTCGCCGCGCTGGCCAAGATACGGATTGAATCGACTATAATAATACTACTGTAGAATACTTTGAAGATCTTTCAAATTGTTTCAGATTCTGAAAATACAGAATATACCATTGTCCGATTGCATTGGATCGATTAGCGAAGGGCAAATATACTGGAGCTCGCACGTCTCCGATCCCGACTTTTATGTATTGTAAATTATTGGGGCATAGTCAAGTTAGAACATATCGCCTTTCACTATCGAAATACGGACGTGCTAATTAAATGACAATAGACTGAGTGTTATTGAGTTCTTTTTAATGCTGACAAATGGGAGTGATTATGCCGAGATCACCGATCGGCAGTGTCTCTCGAATTGCCAGTTAATTATTATCTTATAAAGGTATCTTCGAGTAGCACCAATAGTTTAGCGGAAGCGGCTGCTTCTGCTGCATATGTAGGTGGTCAAATAGGCAGATGGCCTATCTGATAGATAAGCGGCTTCTGTCACCTTAAATGACAGTCTTTAAGGTCGTCAATGCATCATCCATCGTGGGACCTCTGTCTGCTGTCATTGCGCTGGCTATATCACTTTCCATTAGCTTATTGTAATTTCAAATTAACTGTCACAGCTTAAAGAAAACTCAAAACATTACAATATTCTGCAACACCCTGTTAAGACAAAACCATTAGGATTTCTGTCGTTCAATTGAATGTAAAGGGAGCCAGGTACAATCCTTTCAATGCTTCAGCGCGGGGATTTATCATACAACGGTAAATATATATATATACTTAGTACTGCACGCCTTAGTGTCTTGCTTTTGTCACTTTACCCATAATCCGATGCCAAGAACCATAGGAAATAGGTTTTGGTTTATCAAAAGCCACTCAAACCAGTATTGGATGACCACTCGTGTCCATAAAAGCCTCTTGAAGTCAAAGTTCGACTTAAAATTGTCTTGGTAACGCGTCTCGTAAGTTTATTATTAATATTTATTTTAATAATTAACTTTAATTAAGTTAATACAGTCTGTTAAGATGTATTGTGACCACTCACTGACACAGTGTCCTTAACGGTCAACCTGCAAAAGAAAAAAACATTGTTAGTTATCTTTTTCATAATGCCAACAATTTGAATAATGGTCACGAATCTTAATTCGGTAAATTATGTACGATGGATAATTATTTTATTAAATGGTGCCCAGGAAAAATATACTTTTATTGTAATGTTTATTATTATTATTATTCTCCGTGCAACTGAAATGCAAATGAGAAAGGAAGGTAATGAAATATTACTAAATATTTAATTTAGTAAACTCACTGTCATACTATTCTTAGCACCATTACCTCAAGATACTACGTAATTGCATCGCCTTGGAGTTTAATCTCTTGCTTAAATATATAATTAAAGTAATAATAAAAAATCATCTGAAAAGGGTAGACTAACTGATTAAAATGCTAACTACAAACATTATTGTGTTTACTACATTTTACAGCATGAAAAATTACATAGAAATCAAATACGAGATACTCACTCTAAGACGATGAATTATGAAAAAAATATTCTTCGTAGTCCTACTATTACTAGTAACAAAGGGAAGAAATCTTGCGTGCCTCTAGCAAATAACTACAGTCCTACTCTCGTAGTACAAAAGGGAACATACCCACTCCTAGTCATACAGGTCGTTATCATGGTCGTTCGGCGACGAGCTCGGCCGCGGGTGGGTGACGAGCCCTGCGCCCGCGCCGCCCGCACCCCCCGCCGTAGCGCCCGCGCCGCCGTAGTTCAGGAAGTCCCACACCAAGATTGTGTCGTCGTGTGACGATGAGACGATTTGGAACTCGTCGAATTGTAATCGGAACACTCGGCCGGTGTGTTCCTAGAAGGGCGGCAAGTTATATAAAGTTCTATTGAATATCACAATGTTTTACTATCATGATATTAATTTATTTTTTGTTATATTACTCCACTAGTTTGTTATAATAATTAAAACAAAGATCGAAATGTAATGTCCACTTTTACAAATACAATTTTTTTTATTGCCACAATTTTTATCTATACACATATCATAAACTCTCTATAATGTGTTCAAAAACCGCAAATTACGATCAGCATAAAGGTAAACTGTTTTGTTAGAACAAATTTCTTATGTGTGAAAATGTTATTACATTCAAATTACGACCATCTCTGAAAAACAAAATAATTTGATTCGACCTCTATTCTAATATCAGTCGAGATGAAGTTTCATTCGAAATGAAATGTGAATAGCAAACAATTTTGACAATCTCACACGTTACTTGATATCGAACGATATGATAGTTAGGGCCGATTCTAGTTTGTCTATGAATTAAAAATAACGGTTGTGTGATATGCGTGAGAAAAGTTCTTATTTGCCGCCATTTCGCCAGTCGTAACATGCGGTTCCCGAACACATCACAGAGAGTATATAGGAGATACAGGAAAACTGTCTTAGGAACCATCAAGTCTTTTTTTGTGAAAACAGTTTTGGCATGTCAATTTTTTGGTCAAGCGTGAATTGTCCATAGAAATGAATAAAATTGATTAATTATTTTTTTTTAGTGCTGGTCGACTCAATTTCATGTAAGGATTTCATTGTATGGGAAGAAAAAAATTGGTCAAAATTAATGTAATGTTATTCATAAAAAAATAATAAAATTGATTAATTTTGTCTTAATGCTGATAGAGTTATTTTCATGTAACGATCATTTTATAGTATTGGAAGAAAAAATCAGGAGAGCAGAAGTTCGTCAAATTTAATAAAAAGTTTTTTTCATACTAAAACATTTCACAAGTACCTCTACTGCTACTTCATGTCAATGGCTTTCTATAATAGTGGCCTGTCTCAAAAGCATCTAACTCATCACGAAGATTGTTTAAAAAAATTAAGACGTGTCTGCTAAGCAAAATTGAGTCATCGTAGACTTTTTTAACCTGTGAAAAGCTCGGTGTCTCATTTCCAATAAAAATTATTGTTTTTAACCAACTTTAAAAAAGAAGGAGGTTCTCAATTCGACCGTAATATTTTTTTTATGTATGTTACGCGATATTTGCGTGTTTGTTTCGTAACGGAATTTGCGAACTGATTTTGATGATTCTTTTTTTGTTGGAACGAGGTGACCTCAGTATTGGACCCGTTTAAATTTGAAGAAATATTCCACCTCTGGGTAGGGATAAGTGGAAATGATATTCGACTTACCCCAACCAGTGACGGTGTGGTAGGGAAGAGCGGAAAAAAATCCACTTGTCCCCACCAGGCCCCCCTGGTGGGGACAAGTGGACAACTGGTGGGGACAACTGGTAGGAACCAGTGTAATAGGCCATTCCGAATAACCGATTTTAATAAAACTAGGCAAATAGGTGTCATTCCACGAACTTAGGTCGGCTTTTTATAGAAAAGTTACAATTATCTGAACTAATCTCGGTAATAACTCAAAAAAGGAACTACATTATATATAATTGAGCACTATTTTTGAAAAGCACACTTTGAGATGTTAAATTATGGTGCATTCTAAATCCATCATCGACAAGTGCGGTAAGTCCCAACACAGCACCTGTTGTCCATTAAATACCTAAGTTGAACATACCACTAGCGTCCTAAGGCAAAGGTCTTGATGTGGCGTCCTGACGTCCAAAGCAGCAGGCAAGTCCCATACTTTGATTTTACCGTCGTACGCGCCGCTCACTATCCGTTTGTTGTCGAAACTGTAACACAACATTCCATTATACAATACGTCACAAATCTGCATTTCTACAGGTCCTGTAATAAACTCATATCGACTTCTTAGTGCCAGCGCAAATGCTATTACAATAGGAGCGTCGAAAGAAAAACCCATATGTCATATTTTGACTTATTCTTTCATTTGACAATTCGACTGTGAACTGGCAATCGGTACTATCTCAATTTTGACAACTTTACAGGATGAAACCAACAAGCAAATAATTTTTTGCTTCATCCATTTTTGCATCACCATCATGGTAAAGTTGTCAAAATTAAGATAGTACTGGTTGCCAGTTTACAGTCGATTTGTCATAGAGATGAGGTAAAGTCGATAGATTTTTAGTGTATTTGATTTTTGAAGCAAATCTCTCTTAGAGTCTATGCACACGGCGTATTTTATAAGCACCGACGACGTTCATGCGTTTGTATTGATTGAAACGCGCGCAAACATCGCGTTGCAAGCAAGAAGCTTATATGCTCCACTGGAGTTTACACTTAGAATTTCATGTGGAAGACAACTTTTGCTGTGATTTTTTATCCTTTTCACACTTCGTGCCCAGTACAATACATGCAAAATAAACACTCAAAACGAATAGTAGTAACTTAGTACAGTTACTAAATGATTTCTCTAAATCTTAGGATATCTAAAATTTTAGACTCAACTCACACTGGCGCAGAGTCGAAGTGTCGCGTCGCGTCCTTTTCAACTACAAAAAGGGGAAGGCGAATTCGCGCGATTCCGTATTTGCATAACACATATTTCCTTACTAATGGGAAAATACAGATGAATATGCTATAGGCGAAAAACATGATGCGTCGCGACGCTTCTACTTTGCACCAGTGTGAGTTGGGCCTTAAGATAAACACGCAGTGTGCGTGCTTGTTTCATTTCGTAAACTAACGGAATTAAAGAAAAATCATACAGCGCGTCTGTGGCGCAGATGACACGCGTTTACGGCAACATTGAATTTATGAACGTGTGCAAAGATTTACTTGCTGCGATTGAATTAAAAAAAAAATTGAAAAACGAATTACTCTCACTTCACGTGAATGATTCTTAAAATGTATTTATAGATAGGAAATGAAACTATTTTTCCGGATTTAAATCGCGTATATTTGT